TGAAATGATAAACCTAGTGAACATATCTCACCACACAGAAGTATTTTAAACAACCGTTATGTGCATTTTTACCACGATTTAAAAACACAAAGAAAAAAACAACAACAAGGAGATTTCTGGATTTAGGCAACACGAAGTAAATTTCCCCTTCCAGAACCCAGAGAAAGGCAAGAACGCAGGGGACCCCCTCTCCCCGCCACGGACACGTTTGTCGGGGAGCAGTGACACTGGCGATCAGGAGCTGCGACCAGAAGCCCGACGGGGCTCCACCTCCGCGGGCCAGAGTGGGGTCGCGGAGCGCTGAGCCTAGGGGGTCCCAGCGGAGACCCGGAGTGGGGCGGCGCGGGCCGCAGAGCGCGGCGGCGCCAGAAGAGGGCGCCCGAGAGCTGACGCCTGGCGGCGGCCAGCCAGGCTGCTAAGCGCCCTGGGCTGAGCGGCTGGGAACTCCTGGCAGCTGTCACCCTAAAGGGGAAACATTTGGCGCCCCGGTTTACGTTAGGGGCCGGCACAGACGTCACTTCTGCGTAAGTTGTGTTTCATGCTCAATTTGTCGTCAGTGTAGCCAGTGGGAGTCCCCTCAAGCTGGAGCCCAGGTCCTTGGGCGCGCCCCCCAGTTTCTCTACAACAGAGATGCTCCAGGTGGGGTCAGGCTTTTCTGGAGACAGGCCCTGGGCAACGGCCTCCCGTGTCTAAGTCGACGCATGTGCATTGGAAACGACAAGCTCAGATCCCGTCACAGATTAACATGAGCGCCCCCTCCCCTTCGCGCCACACAGAAGACCAATACGTGGGAACCCACTTTCTTCCTTTGCACACTGCAAAGATGTGGAGCCGCTTTGGACACAGCATGACCAAGTTGGAAAGAGAAGCCTGTGGTGGGGGTGCAAGCAGAGGCAGCGCCGGGGCATGTCTGCTGGGTCTGGTCCTGGGGGAGGCTGCCAGCTTCCAGGCGAAGCCAACTGGAGGTGTCGCTGCAGGGCAGCGTGCGCTTCCTGCCTGGGGCTGGGGGGACCACCTGCCCCGCGTGGCACCCACCGGGCCCTTGCATTTTCCCTGAGCCTTGAGCGCAGGCTCCTCCCGAGGAGCAGACGGTTGCAAAGAGACAGGGCGCTTCTGCAGTGCCGCAGACCCTAGCTTCTCCTTCTCCCGGAGGGAGCACAGACCCCTGGGGGAGCAGAAAAGGCCCGAGGTGGCTGGCAAAGCGGAGCGGAGCAGCATCCACACGGGCGGCCGGGCTCGGGCACTAGTGGGCAGCTTAGGGGTTCACAGCGCCACGCTCCTCTAGAGCCCATTTCGTGAGGGGCTGTCGTCACGTTGAGGGCGATAAAATACTTGATCACCTGCTCTCTGAATAATGGCTCCAGGCCCAGGTCCCCTTCTCCTTCCTGGTAGATCTCTGATGCTCACCTCCCCGCTGCTGGCACCCTGAGTTCTTGGCTGACGACCAGTCCACCCTTCTAGTTGCTCACCCCCCAAACCGTTCTCCAGCTCTCCCGCCTAAGCCCCCAGGTCTGGCTGGCACCGCCAACAAAAGCCAGCTGGAATCTGGCACTACCAGGTGTGCGTGCCTCGCCCCTCCCGTGGCTGCGGCCACATCTCATCTGGGCCACTGCAGCTCCTCATCTGGCCGCGTTTCTGCCCAGGCTTCTCCCATTCTCACAACAGTGTTCATTAGGAACCGCTGAAAATGGCCGCCAGGACACACCTTGCCTGCTGCACCCACCCACCTCCCGCCGCCTTCCCACCTCCTTCTGCTTGCCACTGCACCAGCCACCCTAGTCCCTGCGGGGCTGGGAGCTGGCCAGTCACACTCCTGCCCCAGGGCCTTTGCACTTGCTGGTCTCTCCCTTGAGCTACCCTCTGCCTTTCAGTCTTTATGCCCACCTTCTACCCTGTGAATGGGCATCAGTCTCTCCCCACCCTGGCACCCAACTCGGCTTCCTGCTTTCCTCTTCCTGTTGTCCAAGGCACTCCCCGTAACAGGTGTAGCGGTCTGGAGCATGTGCTGTGAGCTGCACTACCCTGGCAGCTGCAGGAGGCAGGCACCGGCCGCCCAGCGCCGGGCCAACAAGCACAAGCAGCCCGCAACGAGCCCCCAGGAAAAGGGCGCTCTGCCCGGGCTTGCCCCAGGATGGACTTTTTCCAACCAGCTCCACGTGGGAACATGGTGTGGCAAGGGTGGCCAGCTTCTGAAGCTGGGGTGAACTTCTTGGACCAAACTGAGAATACGGGGACTCCACTGAGGAAGGGACGCGGGCAGGTTTGGAGAGACCGTCAGCTGCGGGAATGAGCAAAATCTGAGGGTTGGCTGCATGATTTGGGGTGGGAAGACCAGTTGGGCCTGCCTCTGCGTGCCCAGGGCACGTTTGTAGACCCCGGGGGGCTTTCTGAGACGGCAGGAGCCAGGAACCAAAAAGGAGACGGAGGCACAGCTGACCACATGAAATGAACATCCATCATCTGAATCTGTTCCAAATGCAGAGCTCCGGCTCGGCCACTCCCTGCAAACATCACGCCGAGAGGCGTCGCGCCACCAGGACAGTGCCGCCAGCCCGTGCTCCCACGGGGGCCTTCAGCTCCATGGGCACAGAAAGCAAGAGAGCGGGTGAGGGTTCCTGGGGACCTCGGAAGTTTTGGGAAAAGCATTCTAGGGGCGATGGCTGAGCCTGTCCAGATGGTCAGTTCGATGACCTGACTACTAGCTGCTAATGACAGGGCCTAGGCCTGCTGGCCAGAGCTGACAGCGAGTCAAGGCAACACCCGGCCCCCAAGTCTGCTAATCACACCCCCTCCCAGATGCTTAGAATCGGATTAGATGGGGGGCCGGCTCCTCTTCCAAACCTGGCCAGGTGCCCCCAGCTGCCAGGAACAGGGAGAACCCTGCAGAGCAGAGGGTGCTGCCCAGTGCCAGCTTCTCCTTTTCTGCAAATGTTGCACTGAGGCTTGCGGGTGATGAGCCTCAACCTTCCGCGCTTCCCTGCCTCCTGGCGTAGCCCCTTCTCCCTCACGTTTGTCCTGCTGCTCTCCAGGCCCCCACCCTGCCTCCTGCCCCGCCCCCTCAGGTGACCCCTCCCACCCACCTGTCAGGAGCATGGAGCAGGCGCCCTTCCACCGGCATGGGCTCGGGCATGTGGGGCACGTGGGGGTCCAGGTGCCGGGCAACTCCCCAGGGCGTAATCCGCTTTCAGCCAAAGCAGGACTGAGCTTCCGTTAGCCCTAATCATCGCTGCCCCCCCCCCGCCACTTCCCGAGCCTCCCCCAGGGCCCGGGGCGCAGCTGAGGCCCAGCTCGCTCCCTAGCACCGTGCTGGACATGCAGCCACAGATGGGCTCTCGTCCGCCTGCACCCCCCAGCCAGCCGCTCTGCAAAGGACTTGAGAGGGCGGGGCTCACAGCGGGGCGAGCCCCCCCACCGCTCTTCCACCAGGGTGGGGCCGGGCAGCCCAAGTGCAGGGTCCTGGAGGGAGGAAAGTCACCGCCATGCGAGTCCCGAGGACCTCAGCTGCGTCCTGAGCTCTGTTGGCAGGTGCGGGCCTCGTGCTGCCGCCTGGCCAGGCTGTGCCCGTGCCGCGAGCCACCACTTTTCACTCTTCTGGTCCGTACTCAGAAGTGGGGCCGCTGGCTCGCAGGGTAGCTTTATTCGTAATTCTTTGCGGTATCGCCAGACTTTTCCACCGTGGCTGCACCACCACAATCTAATTTGAGGACATTTTGGTCTCCCACAAAGGCTACTCTATGGCCGCCAGCAGTCACCCTCCACTGCTCCCTTCCCGGTCCCTGGCACCCGCTGCAGGGCCTTCTTCTGCTTGTGCGGACAGGCCTGCTCTGGAGCTTTCGGGGCAGTGGCCTCTTTCCCGCAGGTCGCATTGCAGCTGCCTCAGAGCCTTGCTTTGACCTGCCCGATTCCAGGGCCCGGGGCAGGCTTGTGTGCGCTCAGTGTCTGCTGGTTCACTCGGGGTGGCGTCTCCTTTGGCCTTCTGCAACTACAGTGGATGCCTGGAGGCACCAGCTGCACCTGCTCTCGCCGGGAGCTGTTTCCTGGAGGCCCTGTGACAGGCCGGCTTTGCAGGCGCCGGTGGCCCTGCGAGCCTCGGGCCGGGACACACTCCTCAGCTCGTGAGGAGCCAGGAGCCCTGTCCCCGCCCTGGCGGCCCTGGGGGATCCGGGAGTTGTGAGGCTCCACGCGGGTCTGGCGTCCAACGTGGCAGCCCAGGCTTCTGCCACCATGAACTCCATGCCCCTGAGGAGTCTCCTGAGGCAGCTGACTCCTGGCCTGAGCAACAGAGGTGATGGCTGTGCTCCCTAGAGCAGACCTGGGGGGCTGTTGCAACTGGGGTCCTCTGTTTGGAAACAGGGAAGGCAATGGCTTGGGGCAAGAGCAGGTAGCCAGACCGCCGCCGGCAGCCGCACTCCCGCGGGGCAAGTGGTCTGCTCGCTCTGCCAGGCTTGGCTTCTGGAGCAGCCCAGGGGAGGGTCATGAGGGCAGAGACAAAGATCTGGGCAGGTGGGGTCTGAGTGCCGGTGCCTTCGGGTGGGGGATAGGGTGGGCCGCTGGCCTGGGGCTGCTCACTGCTGTGCGGCAGCTGGGGGAGCCAGGCCCACTCCAGGCCCAATCCTTGGAAGCCCTGCTCAAAGGAGCCCTCAGGGTGCCACTGGCATCCATTTGGGCCCAATCAGAAAAGCCACCAACCTACAAGCGAGCGGGCATGGCAGTGGGCGGCAGGGCTCTCCCCACTTCCCACAACAGGGCCCCTGAGTTTGGTCCCCAGCAAATCCCTCTGAGCTGCCCTTAGGAGCCAGGGGCGGGGGCGGGGGCACAGGCCTAAGTCCCAGCCCAATTAAGAGATCAGGTGGCACAGGGCCTGGGGCGTCTAAGGTGAGGAGGCCTGGGCCGATCCTGCAGGCTGCTATAAGGCGCTGCGCCCCACACAGTGCCGGGGCTGGCGGCAGCGGGGCAGGGCTTGCAGAGCCACGGCCCAACAGGGGGCCCTGCAAAGGCTCATGGGTGGACAGTCGCACGACAGCCCGGAGAGCAGCACCCTGGGGAGCGCCTCTACCTACGCCCACAGCAACGCCACCAGAGGTGAGCGGGCAGGCGCGGGGGCTGCCTCATGCCGGCTGCAGTGGCCCGCCTGGGACCTGGCGTCCACCTGCCTGCCCAAGAGGCAGCATGTCCTGGGGCAGGAGGCTCGCAGGCACCCTCGTCCTGGGAGAGAGGGCCCAGGCCCGCAGACAGTCAAAAACCTCCATGATGGCAGCGCAAGGTCTGCCTTTTTGGGTGGCCCAGTGGAGAGACTTTGCACGGAGCTGGTCAAAGTGTCAGGGACACTACTGACCCCTGGCTCTGGTCCCCTCCTGTGAATCAAAAGTGTTGCCGTGAGCAGCGACAGCTTTCCCAGGCCCACTGGTTGAGAGCCCTGAGGGGGGCCTGAGCATGCCCCCCCAGGGGTGTCCGTGGCAGGCCTGCTATGTGGTTCTCTGAAGGGGTTCCCTGGAGACCCCGTCCACCTCTGACTTTTCCTTTTCAAAATTTCAAGTATGTTCCCAAGCTGAGGGCAGAGTCTAATGGACCCGGGAGGCCACCCCTTATCTTGTATTGAGGGACCCCCATTGCGCCACGCACCCTCCTCCCGGTTTCTGGAAGCAGATCCAAGCAGATCACATCGCTTGGTCTGTAAATCTTGGCCTCGAAGGGAAAAGACCTCTTGGAAACGCCCCAACATGTCATTATTGCCCCTCGAAGGTAGCGCCTCAGTCGTGGGGAGTCACCCACTTCGGGCTTACACGCATGCCATGTTCACAGGGCCCCCTCAGCTCCTTGCAAGGTACCTGTTGAAGGAAACAGGTGTTCCAGCCCCACACCCCACTCCCGGCTCTGCAGCTGCCTTCCTGCATGCAGACTGCCAGTGGGACCCAGGCTGTGGAGCAGGGTGGGCAGTCTGCTAGGTCATCCCCTGTCCTGGGGCTCTGGCGACTGCACAGGAAAGGCCGGCCTAAGCCTGCTTCTAGTGGGGTGCAGGGGCGTGAACTGTGTGGCCCCTTCTCTGCTGCTGGGGCCCCATTCTCAAGGGCTTCCAAGAGAATCAGGATTCAGATAACATTGAATTTGTCATCTGCTTTCGCTCCACACACACCCCTCTCTGCCACCAACAACAGGCTCACCCAAAGCTTCACATCTGGCCGGTGCGCTCATCGTCAGCGTGTGCGCCAGGAAGTCCGCACAGCCCTCGCTGTGTCGTGACACCATGAATGTGCTGGAGGCCCACTTGTTTGGTTTTGTTTTTCCTTTTGTTTTTTAAAAAAGATTTATTGATGCACGCAAGAACTGGGGTACACGTCAGAGATGGGGGTGGGAGGACTCCCCAGAGACAGTGGGGAGCAGAGCAGGCTGATTGACTGAAACCCACAGCTAAGGGGAACGGCAGGGCAGCAAGAGCGGTCTGCTGCGCCCTGGGGTCCCGGGATGGGGTGCCGGGATCCCACTCATGCTGCAGCGGCTGCAGACAGCCTCATTGCGCTGCGCCTTAACCCCTTGCGCCACTAGGGAGGGCCAGGCCCATTGGTTTTATTTTGTATTTTTCTGGATTGCTTTAAACAATTCAACGTTGGCTTATGATCATGTAACAAAACATTTACAAGGTTCCCAATTCAAATCGAGAAAACAGGGATGCTTGGAGATGTCCCTCCTCTGCCCATCGCTACCTACCCTCCTGCTAGCTCTCAGGGTAGCCCGGGTGGGGAGGGAGGGACAGGTCCGGCCCCTCTGGCGCGCCCGCCCTTCCCCTCCTCCGGCTGTTGCTGCTGGGAGCGACCCTCCGGCTGCCCACCTCTGAGATGCCCTGTTTTTGCCTGCAGGCCGGGGGTGCAGACACCTCCCATCACAGCTGCAGTTGTGCGCGAAGCTGGGGAGTCCCGTAGCTCAGCGCTCGCTGTGTCATGGCAGCTCATTTGGCCACGTGGGGTCCTCTGTGCGCGGGCTGCAGCCTTGAGTTCCAGGAGGTCCCGCTGCAGGGCAGCAGGGCTGTCTCAGGGACATCAAGCCCTGCGTGTCATGGGCAGTGGGGTCTAGGTGTACTGGGGGTGCACGTCTTCCTTCTTTGCCACAGGACTCGAGAAATCCCCATTATCCTTAAACCATTTTGAGCTGGGTTTTTGTAACACGCAACTAGCGTCAGCGCCGCAGGGGCACGGCGTTGAGGCCTTGTCTGAACGGGTCAGTCGGGGAGGAAGAGGCCGCTCTTTGCGTGTGTCTCTCCTGGGTCTGTCCTCAAAGAGCGCCGCACACCAAGGGCTCAGACAGTGACGAGGCCCGACCTCCTCAGGGGCCGCAGGCCACCCTCCCCTCCTGGAAACCTCCTGACAGTCAGGGGCCTCCTGGCATGGGCCAGCACCGCCCTGCCCTCCGCCTCTACTGTCATGGCCACTCTGTGTGCACGTTCCTTGGGTGGGGACCCCAGTCCTGTGGGATTAGGGCATGCCCCACCGGCTCCATTCTGACCTGTCACCCCTGTCCAGACCCTCCCCCCCAAGAAAGGCCTCCCTCGGGCTTCACATCTTTTTTTGGGGGGCACGATCCCACCCACCACATACCCACGCCTCATTCTGCGGGCTGCACCCACCTCAGGAGATGCACGAAGCTGCCTTCGCAGGGGGCTGGCCGCACCTCACTCCTGCGCACACAAGGCAGGAACAGGGGTGCTGTCAGTGGGGCGTCTGCAAAGACTTCTGGGCCAACTTTATGGCATCGAGGGCAAGAGGCCCCACGTGGGGTGGGGGGGGCTTGAGCAGAGAGACAAGGTGTCGGGGAGTGCACTTGGAAGCAGTTCCAGGGAGTCGGGGCCCGCCAGTGGCACAATCAGATGGGGGCGCTCTGCTTTGTTGAGCCCCAGGATGCCCTGGGGTGCCAGCAGGCCACAGCCTCCGCCTGGAGAGACAGGATGCTGGGAAGGCGGCTTGGCAGAGCTGCTGGGAAGGGGCGGCCTGGGATCTGAGCCGGGAGCTGGCGCCAGCTGCGGGCGCTCTGTGCCTCCGCCCCAGGCCCCTTCGAAGGCCCCAATTACCACATCGCTCCCAGATGGGTGTACCACCTCACCAGCACCTGGATGGTCTTCGTGGTCATCGCCTCGGTCTGCACCAACGGGCTGGTGCTGGCAGCCACCGCGAGGTTCAGGAGGCTGCGCTGCCCTCTGAACTGGATCCTCGTGAACTTGGCGGTCGCTGACCTGGCAGAAACCATCATTGCCAGCACCATCAGCGTGGCAAACCAGGTCTGCGGCTACTTCGTGCTGGGCCACGTTCTGTGCGTCGTGGAGGGCTACACGGTCTCCCTGTGTGGTAAGTCCCCCGTGCCCAGATGTCAGGGCAGGAGCGGCCTGGGAGGCTGGGCTCTGTGGCTGGGAGTGCCCAGTGCGACTTTGCCTGGCTCGGGCCAAACCCCTAAGTGCCTACTCTGAAACCGACACTGCCTGTGCCAGGCAGCGGGTGTGGGGCAGGCGGCCCAGGGGGCTCATGCCAGAACAGGACGGCAGAGCCCTGGTCTGCGCCCTCAGGGAAATCAGCAGTTGCCACCAGAGCCGTCACCCGAGCGGGGCCCTACACACAGATCTTCCCTGTCCGCACAGCCCTCTGGGCCGGGCTCTCTTTGGGGCAGCCGCGTAGGCCAAGAAGTACCGGGTGCAGGGTGCCACACACAGGGCTCCAGCCTTGAGCGTGTCCTGGGTCCGCGGAGAGGGCCTGACACAGTGGGAAGCAGGAGGCCGAGAGGCCTCATGCTTCACTGAAGGGCCCACGGGTGCACAAGGGCAGGGTGTGGGCCTGACACAGGACGAGCACACAGTGGGGCCTCTGGTCCCAGCCTGCACATTCCGGGCTGGGTCGCAGGCAGCACCCGAACCTGGAGCTCCCGCTGCGGGAGGCACCTGAGGCGCAGTGGGAGCAGCCGGCTGTGGCACAGGGAAGGCGCACAGCAGGCCCAGCCGCCAGCACAGATCTAATGGGGCCAGGAGAGGTGGGGGACAGGAGGAAGGGGGCATGTGAAAAGCGCACGAAGGAGAAGGGAATGGCCCTGGACTTGAAGACACTCTGGACGCTAGGTTTTGCAGGTGGGGACTTCCCCTTGACCCTGGTGATGGCCGGGGCCTCTCCATCTGCTCTCCCGCAGGGATCACGGGCCTCTGGTCCCTGGCCATCATTTCCTGGGAGCGGTGGTTGGTGGTCTGCAAGCCCTTTGGCAACATGAGGTTTGACGCCAAGCTGGCCATAGTGGGCATCGCCTTCTCCTGGGTCTGGTCTGCTGTGTGGACTGCCCCGCCCATCTTTGGTTGGAGCAGGTAAGGGTGCCAGGGTGCCAGGGAGCGGCGCAGGGTCAGGGGCCACTTTTGTGGCCTCGGACATCAATCAGTCACTGCCTGTCTGACGCCCGTGGCCCCGCAACTGCAGCGAGGGGTCTCCGAGCTCCCTGTGAGCCTGCAGTGCCCGTGAGCGTGGGCTCTGTTACGACATGCAATGCACAGCTGGCCTGGCCTCTCCAGGCTTCGGGACGCCTCTCAGCCCTCCTGCCCAGGCCTTTTGTTCCAACACTGTGGGGGGCGTCACCCCCCTCTCCAAGGCCACGCGAGCAGCATGCCATCTGGCTCCCGGCCAGCCCACTGTGGGTGAGACCCAAATTTCTGAGTAAGCAACTCAGACGTCTGAGCGGGAAGGCCTGGACGGCCGTGCTGCGCTCCTAGTGCCGCGAGCCTGTGACTGCCTGTGGTGCTCCCCAGCCCCATGCGCACCCCACGCCCACACAGGATTAGGAAGGGGAGTCGCGGGAGCTCCTAGGCCTAGCCGACCCAGAGCATGGTTCTGGAACTAGATGGAGGAGGGGGTTCCCCCAAGGCCGCCACTAGCAGGTCTCGCAGTCGCAGTACGTGGGGGGGAGTGTCAGCCCCCCCCCACAGCCCAGATACGACCAGACCTCCGGCTGGGCTTTCCTCTAGGGAAGACAAGCACTCACTGGTGGCGAAACGCTGAGTGCCCAAGAAGCCCCAGAGACTTCACTTGGAAACGGCTCACTGGTGCTGGCGCAATGTCCCCTCAGCGAGGACCGGAGGGCCCTACCCAGGTCCATGGTGCGCCGGGTGGACGGGGCTCTGGCCACATGCCGGAAGGACTGCTGCTCTGCCCCTCCAGGTACTGGCCCCACGGCCTGAAGACCTCGTGCGGCCCCGACGTGTTCAGCGGCAGCTCCTACCCCGGTGTGCAGTCATACATGGCCGCGCTCATGGTGACCTGCTGCGTCATCCCGCTCGGCGTCATCGTGTTCTGCTACCTCCGAGTGTGGCTGGCTGTCCGCGCGGTGAGCGCTGCCGCCAGGCCCCGCTGCTCACCCGCTCGGAGCCACGTGCGCCTGGGGGCTTCCTCTGTCCTGTCCCGTGCCCCTTCCTGGGGGCCAGTGATGGGGTGGGAGCCGCAGCTCGTCCAGGCCCCGGATGAGGGGGCTACCGCCCCAAGCGTGGAGTGCAATTGGCCAGATCCACAAATGGAATTTTTTTATTTGCCAACTTTCTGTGGTAATGTCGGTTCGCGTTATCGCTGGCATCTGCCGCTCCACGGGAGGAGAGTCACAGGGCGGCTGCACCACGCCCCCGTCTCTGGGCCGCAGGCGCCACTCTCCCCTGGCCCCCTGGGAAGTCTGTCCTGTCCACAGCCACCCTGCAGGGTGCGGGACACTTCAGAGCCGGGCAGAAACGGGGAGTGGGCCTTGGGGCGCCGACAGCTCCCCCTTGTGGCTCCCTGCACAGGAACCAGTTGTGCCTCTGCCAACTGGTCTATGAGGCTCCTTGTGGACCTGCCACCTTCCCCTCGAGGACCCTGCTCGGTGGGGGAGGGGCTCCGATGGCACGTCTGCCCCACCCTGCCTCCAGGCTCTCTGTGGTGGGGACCCATGGGTGGCACACAAGCTCCCCGCTCACGTCCCCTAGTGCTTCAGCCTGCGACCGTCGGGGTAGAGGGTCAGTGCTGTGAGTGAGGGCCCCTGCCCTTCTGTTGTGACTCCCTGCCTGCAGCCACGTGCCTCTCATGCCCCCCCCCAGCGGTCCAAGCAGCAGCCCCAGGGCCCTCACTCATTGTGCTGGTGCTACCTTGTCTCCCCAGGTGGCAAAGCAGCAGAGAGAATCCGAGTCCACCCAGAAGGCCGAGAAGGAAGTGACACGCATGGTGGCGGTGATGGTGCTGGCCTACTGCGTCTGCTGGGGGCCTTACACCGTCTTCGCCTGCTTTGCCGCCGCCCACCCTGGCTATGCCTTCCACCCTCTGGTGGCTGCCCTGCCAGCCTACTTTGCCAAAAGTGCCACCATCTACAACCCCATTATCTATGTCTTTATGAACCGGCAGGTAAGACATTATCAGCAAAGCAAACTATAAACAGCCCCGGGCCAAGCCCAAGCCTTCCCGCTAGCTGCAGCCAGCAGGCCCTTCCCCCCCTTCCCCGCAGCCCTCCAGCCGGGCGAATGGCTGGGATGGGCGTGGGGATGTCCCTCTCAGTCTTTCACTAACGTGGCTCTCCTCTCAGCATGCAGCCTGGCAAACGTCCCGGCCGCACGGCTGTGCTGACAGCGGCTCTCGGGAGCTCCCGAGTCAGGGAGGACACACTCGGTGCCAGGCTCCCAGTTGCCGGCAACCTCAGCGATGTTGGAGGGTAGCAGGGGCCGCGTGAGGCTCAGCTCCTCTAAGCACGACTTGCCTTGGGTCTCTGTTGAGACGTCTCCCTCAAGGCCGCCTCACTCAGGCACAGCTGCCAGGCGACCGGATGGTGACCAGAGGTCCCGCAGGGGCTTCACCTGGGCCAGCCCCAGTCAGCCTTCCCTACGGCTCCATGAGCCAAGAGTGTTCGTCTCGAAAATGGATGTTTTTTTCTACCCTGTCTTCCCCTTCCTGTTGCATTTTGTGAGAATTTTCTGGAATGGAACTCCCAGACAGGAGCTGGGGGTTTTGTTTGCAGCTGTACCCCCTTGGAACAGAGCTGGTACTCGACGGGCAGACGAGGAATGAGCTTCGAAGCCTCATCTCAATCCCCATGCTTTCACTCTGAGAGCTTTGAGGCCGGAAGGAGCAGGGGGTAGTCGAGAGTCCGCCCGGGGTACCTCAGAGACACCTGGGGTCTGTGCCCTCAAAGCACCAGATCAGCACAGTGACGAAATGAGGCATCATCTGAGATGTGAGCTCAGCACTGGGGCCGAGCAGCAGTGCGCAGCCCCTGGGGGCGGAGATGCTCCCTGCTGAGCAGGTGACCTGGCTCCGCTACTGGCCGCTGAGCCTCACCCGGGTCCACGGCGGAGAACCAAGGGAACGGCCGTGCTCCTCCTCGGGCCCAGACCTCCAGGTTTAGGGCAGGGAGTGGGCAGGAGGCTCCTTTCAGGGGCCAGGCCAACAGGCATGCCCCAAGCCTGCCTCCAGCTCTCAGGCTGCTCCTGACCCTGGGCATCGACTCGAGCGAGCTGCCCTGCCTGTCGCGGCCTTCCTGAGGCTTCCTCCCTGTGTCCAGTCCCTTCTTGCTGGGACCCGGCGCTGGGACATTGGCCTGCATGCCACTGTGCCCCTCGTCACACCGCCTCATCAGAGCCGTAAAGGCTACTGTGGAATCGGGGGACCCACAGGCTGCAGGGGCAGGGTTCAGTATTCCCCAGAGGACAGCCTCAGCTGCCAGAAGAGTGAGTGGGGTCAGGAGCGGGAACAGGGCTGCCCAGGAAGTAAGTGCCCAGGTGCCCTCTGCTCGCCGTGCCCCTCCCTCTGGGAACAGGGGAGCCGAGCAGCTGTGGCTAACTGGTGCTTCCTGTTATTTCTGCCAGTTTCGAAACTGCATCTTGCAGCTCTTTGGAAAGAAGGTGGACGACAGCTCTGAACTCTCCAGTGTCTCCAAAACGGAGGCCTGCCCGGTCTCCTCTGTGTCCCCTGCCTGAGCCCTCAGCCTGAGTAGCAGGAAGCCTGCCCCACCCCCAGGGGCCTTAGCCACCCTCCGCACCCCGCCACCTTCTCTGAAATAAATGTAGTTTCTCTGCTGAAACCACAAAGTCACGAGGCAGCACGGCAGTCTGGGGGCGCTGAGCCCGCAGTGCACACTGTGGGGTGCAAAGGCACGACCAGGCGCTCCACGCACTGCCACCTTTGCCGAGCCTCGGGTCTGCAGGGGGCGGGAGGGCCTGAGAAGGCGCAAGGGCTGCAGCCCCGGGGAGTCAGGGGGGTGGGAGGGCAGGCCCTCCAGGGCCCAACGGGCGGAGCTTGGAGTCCTTGGCACAGAGCCTCCACCCGGAGGGGAGAGCGTGTCACTTCTGCCAAGCCAGGACCACGGCGCAACCAGCAGCAGCAGCACACGCGGTGGGCACTAAAACCAGAAGGACAGTGGCCAGGGTGAGCAGCAGGCTCCGGCGCGACACACGAGCAACTGGCCGGCTCCGGAGGGCCTCCACGACCTCCTGCCGTGACAGAAACACCCGCCGGCAGAGGTCAGAGAGGACCGGTGCCGTCCACCCAAGTCCTGGGGGCATGAAGCAAGATGGAGGAAGGAAGTCCCCGACAGGAAAGGGGAGGCTGCTGCTCAGCCTCCCAGGGGCCGTGATGGGGTCACCCTGACCTGGCCACAGCCCCAGTCCCTCATCCTGTGTGGCCTGGGCAGAGCAGAAGCCCCGCCCCCTCGTCGATAAGGATGGAGCAGAAGTGGGGGTCCCTAGCAGGTGCTCCCCACACCAGCGCAGGCTCTCCAGGTGGCCCCGATGCCCCAAGACAGGAACACTGAAGTCAGAGCAGCATAGCATGACACAGATGGGGCTGGGCACAACCCGAGGGCAGCCCCTACCTGGGTGTGAGGGCGTCAGAGGGCCTTTGTCCACTTTGCTTCTCTCTGGCCTAACCCTCCTCTCTGGCCATTTCTCGGAAAGCGCCGAAGGTCCTTACCCACATTTCCTTGGTCCTCTCATAGGACAGATCTGCCACCCTCTCCTCAGTGCCAGTCAGGTGCTGCCTGGGGCGGTAGATCTCGGCCAGGGGCCCTTGCAGGTGCTTGTCCACCTGTGCTTCCCCAGATGCTTGTCTCAGGAGCAAAAGAGAGAGTGATGCCCGCAGCACCCCACCCAGATCTCTTGCGGAAATGAGACCAGCTGGGGTCCAGAACCCGCTTCCGCCACCCCTCACCCCCACCCCCCGTCCGGGGCCACCAAGGGACCCGTGCATGCACTGACGTCTGGAGAGGCTTTCTGTCTCCTCACACTTCCGTACCAGCTTACAACAGCACAACAGGCCAGAGGCTGCAGAGACCAGTGTACAGCCCCCACCCACACCACTGAAGTACACCCAGACTCCAGGACCTATGTGGAACACCAGGTTTCCAGAAAAACCTGTTGGTTACAGGGACAGAGCAGCCCCAAGAGACCTCGCGCTGTGTGACCCCGTGTATCTGAACTGTTCAGATGAGATACAGAAACAGCCGAGTGGCACGGGGGCGCAGGGCGGGCAGGGGCGGGTGGCACGTGTGTGGATGAAGGCCGCGGACCACACTCTGCGTGGGGGTCACACACCAGGGGAATGTGTCTCAATAAAGCTGCTGTGGCAAGCAAACAGCTGCCCCTGATGCTGCATTGTGGTGATGGTTGCGCAACTCGGGTCATTTACCAAAGATGACCGAGACAGCAGCTCAATGGGCAGTGAATGGCAGGCAGAGAAGTATGGGTGCCATTTCAACCTTTTTTTTTGTAAGATTTATTTATTTATGCATACAGAACTGGGGTACAGGCCAGAGGCGCAGGGGCAGAGAGAGGCTTCACCAGAGACAGAGTGGGGAGCAGAACAGGCAGATGGACGAAGCACACTGCTGAGGGGAGCAGCGGGCGGGTCAGGAGAGGTC